TTAAATTTACTGGGATTAGACTTGTGACCTAAAATGTGGTTGATTTTGGAATATCTTCCATGGGTTGATGAGAAAAATGTGTATTCAGCTTTGTTAGGATAAAATTTTCTGTAGATTTCTGTGAAATCCAAATGCTAAATGGTTAAGTTTAAATCTAAAACTTCTTTGCTAAGCTTCCTATTGGAGGATCTATCCAACACTGCCAAAGGAGTATTAAAATTTCCAACTATGATGGAGCTAGGAGAAATCAGATTGCTCATGTCTATTAGAATATCTCTTATAAATTGAGGTGCATTCTGGTTGGGTGCATAAATATTGATAATTGAAATCTCATCATATTGATTATTACCCTTAACAAATATAAAGTCAGCATCCTTATCCTTCCTTAGTTTTCTTGGTTTAAAGCCAATTGTATCTGCAAATAAAATTGCAACACCAGTTTTTTTTCTGCTTTCCATTTGCCTGGAATATAGATGACCATCCCTTCACCCTATATTTATCATTTAAGGTAAGATGAAATTCTTATACATAGCAGATATCTGGCCTGAGTTTGATGAAATTCTTATACATAGCAGATATCTGGCCTGAGTTTTTGTATCCAGTCAGCCAACCTGTGCCTCTTTAGAGGACAATTTAAGCCATTTGCATTGATTGAGAATATTGATAGTCCTGGTAAAATTTTGTGTATCAAGTTTTTTGAAAGTCCTGTGGACATTTTTAATCCTTTTGCATTGTGGAAGTTAGAATATGATCAAAAGTTTCTGAGTGAGTTTACTTTTGTGGTGGCGGATTGCACTGGTCATTATGGAGGATAGGTCTGAGAGTATTTTGTAGAGTTGGTTTAATTAAGGCAAATTTCTTCAACATGTGAATGTCATTAAAGTATTTAATTTCTCTGTTATAAATGAAACTCAGTTTAGCTGGAACAGGATCCTAGCTTGAATGTTATTTTGTGTTAGGAGATTAAAAGTCGATGACCACCCTCTTCTAGCCTGAAAGATTTCAGCAGAGAGAGGTTATGGTTTTCCTAAATCTAGCTGCTTTCAGAATCTTCTCTTTCTTATTAACTTTAGTGAAGTTAATTATGATAAGCCTGGGTGATGTCTTATTTGGGTTGAGTCTTGCTGGGCTTCTGAAACTGTCTGCTATCTGAATTTCAGAATCTCTTGGCATATCTGGAAAGTTATCTTTCATAATTTCATGAAGAAAAAATCCTGTTTTTTGTGATGCAACTTTATCACCTTCAGGGATTCCTATAAGACTAATATTAGTTTTCTTCGAATTATCCCAGAGAATTCTGAGAGAGTGATCCATTTTTGCTCTCCATTTCTCTTCATCTTTGAGTGCTTGGGTATGTTCAAAAGCTTTGCCTTCATTGTCAGAAATCCTTTCTTCTGCCTGTTCCATTCTATTGGTGAGGGATTCTGCATTACTTTTCAGATCTTTGAGGGCTGCAAACTCTTGCCTCAGTGTGTCAAAATCTTTGTTCATTTTATCTTTGAAATTGTTGAATTCTTGAGACATTTTTTGGATAATTTCTTGAAATTCTAATTCCCTCCTTTCCTCCATTCTGTTGATCTTGTTTGCTATCCAGACTCTGAACTCGATTTCTGACATCTCAGTCATTTACTTATGAATGGGATCTTGTGCTATATCTATCATATAATTCTTAGGGAGAGTTGATCTACTCTGGTCATTCATGTTACCAGAGTTTTCCCACAGATTTTGCCCCATTTTGTTTTTCACCATTTGCTAGATGGGCAGATAATGTGAAATTGGGAATTCCTAGGGTTGTGGTTCATTCACCCTTTGTCAAGCATCTGGGACTGATGGCTCTAGCTTTTTCCCTATAGCTTTGCAAAAGACCCATATAGTATTAAAGTCTGAGGCTGTGGAAACCTGATTGGTGTGGTGGGGTTAGGTGGCTCTGTCTTGTGTAGTTCTTGTCTGATCCAAGTGGATCAGTGACTCTGGTGTAGTCTTAGCTGGAGAGATACAAGCAATTAAGACAGCCCATCCCCTGTGGATGTCTATTGTAGGAGGAAAATCAACCCTTTCCATTTCTACATAATCAAGGTATCAACTGAGGGGGGCCTTGGGTAATTTGTCCAAGTTAGGAGATCCCAACCAATAGACCCAGTCTAAATGATCTCTCAACTGGGAGAATTCAAAATGTCTCCAGCAACTAGAAGGCAGAGGTCTATTAGCTGCTCAAGTTTGGCTCAGACAGATGCTATGTGAAGTCAAAAAGGCTCTTCCGGTACTAGGGTTGTCCCAGGGGTCTGAGTCTCTATCTCCCCTTTGCTCCTCTTCCATGACCAGTCACTGGTAGTCCAACAGGACTGAAGTCCTGCTCCCTCTAATGAGCAGGAGTACTAGGAGTTTGTGCCTGTCAGAGTCAACAGAATGTCAATGCCCCCACAGCCCGGCCACTACTCTCTGCTGCCAGCCAGTTGGGGAGCTGAGTCCTGCCTGCCTCAGGTAGTCAGTAGGCACTGGCTAGTGTTCCACTTTGTCTCAGTCTAATCCTGAGGTTAGCAAGTCAGCAAATACTTTTCTCTCTCCCACAGCCACTGCACCTTGGCCCCTGCCACTCTGCAGCACTGGTATCCCTCTAGAGTGAGTTATGGTTTCCTCTGGGGAACCACAGAGGTGAGGAGGTGTCTCTTCAAAATTAGATGCTGGTGGGCTTGCTCTGTTGAAGTTGTATCTTGTGGAAAGTGACCCTGTGCAGCTCCCAGGGCGACTGCTGCAGCCAAGGAGTTCTGGCTGTAGCAGTCACTCCCATAGTGCAGGTACACAGATCCAGCAGCAGGGCTGAGGAAGCTGCAGCAATTCTGGCAGTCCACAGATCCTGGTGACTTCAGCAAAGAGAGTGCTCAGCTCAGGAGTCTGGTGGGGGGGCACGGCATAGAGCCTGGGAGGGTGCAGGGAGGTGGGGAGCAATGACCAGAGAGCACCGGCTCTGGTAGTCTTAGGCAAGCTGGCCTTGGGGGTGCCAGACACAGGGAGCACAACCTGAGGATTTCCGGCTCTGGCAATCACAGGTGGGCTTGCTGGTCCTGGGAAGCACAGCCCAATGTGCCTCGGCTTGGCTCTGGTGGTTGCTGGCGGGCTGGCCAGGTGCTGGGAGCTCATCCTAGAGAGCACCAGCTCTGGCAGTCATAATTAGGCTGGCCAGGCAGGGTTGGGGGTGGCTCTTGTAGTCACAGGCTGGCCGGCCTGTCATGGGGAGCACTACCTGGGATGTGTCAGCTCTGGCGATCACAAGTGGGCTAGCCAGTCATGTGGAGCAGAACCTGGGGTGCCTTGCTCTGGTGGTCAAAGGTAGGCTGGCTGATCGTGTGGAGCCCAACCCAGGGCACTTGGGCTCTGGCAGTCACAGGCAGGTGGGCTGTTAGTGGGAAGTTTGTGCCTGTCAGAGTCAACAGGCAGTCTTGCTGGTCTGGGGAGCACAGTAGGGACTCACAGGCTCTGGCTGGTCATGGGGAGCGCCGGCTCTGGCAGTCACAGGCGGCTGGTAGCAGGACTCTTTGTCTAGCAGGGGTGGGGAACTATGTTCCTGAGCCTCCTCTTACAGACTGTGCAAGTAAGGGAGGAAGGGTGAACTGGGAGATCAGAATGGCAATGAAGAGGTTAGTTCAATTTTTCTGCCTGGGAGAGAATGTTCAGAGTCTCATCAGAATTCCTCTAGGGAAGTAGACCCCACTTCTTATAGCTCTCACACTTGGGGTGAGGCAATAGGTCCTCAGTTCACCGCTCACCTGTAGATAACCTGTAGAAATTGGCTTTCTTGGAGTCTCAGCATGCCTCAGCAGAGGTAACCTGCAGATATCGCTCTTCCCTCTCAGCTTAGCTGCCAATCTTCTGCTTAATAGGTTATTTTCTGGAGTTTATCCTTCCTTCTGGACGAGAGCTTCTGTCAGAGGCTGACTCCAGTTTGCCATTTTGCCCCTCCTCTTTTCACAATGCTTTTGTTTTGCATTTCTTTGATGAGTAAAGATAATGAGCATTTTCTCATGTGTCTGTAGACCAAACACCTATCTTCTTCAGGGAAGCTTCTGTTCGCGTCTCTTGCCCACAGTGAAATGGGATCACTTGTTCTTTCCTTATTGATAAGTTTGAGTTCTCTGTGGATTCTGGATATCAGACCTTTGTCAGAAACATAACTTGCTAATATCCTCTCCCATTCTGAGGGCTATTTGCTTTACTTACTATGTTCTTGGCAGTGCAGAAGTTTTTAGTTTGATCAGATCTCAGTAATGTATTTTTGGCGTTGTTTCAATTGCCCAGGGGATACTCTTCATAAAGTATTCTCTCAGGCCAATTTCTACAAATGTTTCCCCTGCACTCTCTCCAAGAATCTTTATAGTTTCATGTCTTAAGTTTAAGTCTTTTATCCAGTGAGAGTCAAATTTTTTTGGAAGTGAAAGTTTTGGGTCCAGTTTCAGTCTTCTACAAGTCGCCAACCAGTTCACCTAACACCATTTGGTTTTCCGGGTATACAATTATATCATCTGTGAAGAGTGAAAGTTTGATCTCCTCTGATCCTCTATGGATACCCTTGATCACCTTTTCCGGCCTGATTACAATAGCTAAGACTTCCAGTACAATGTTAAAATGGGCAACCTTGCCTGTTTCCTGATCTGAGTGGAAATGTTTTCAATTTCACTCCATTCAATAAAATACTAGCTGTGGGTTTGCTGTAAATTGCCTCTATCAGTTTAAGAAATGTCCCTTCTTTACCTATTTTCTTAAGTGTTCTGATCAAGAAAGGATGCTGGATATTGTCACAAGCTTTTTCTGCATCAATTGAGAGAATCATGTGGTCTTTTTTATTTTGTTTATTTATAAACAAAATATTTATAGATTTACATATATTGAACCAGCCTTGAGACACTAGGATAAAACCCACTTGGTCATGGTGTATAATTTGTTTGTTGTGTTGTTGGATTCTGTTTGCTAGGATTTTTGTTTGTTTGTTTTTGTTTTTTGTTTTAGACTTTAATCTTTATTTACAGGACACTGCAAGATATGAAATTCCACATAGAAATAAGAAACCCTTTCAGAGGATAGGCTCCATACAGTATGTATGTACAGTTTGGAACTGTTCAAGTATAGTTTTGTTGTAAAAAGTGCTACATTAACAAACCACATTTAAAAAGAGTTCGTAGTAGAGAAATAGTAAGACAAACTTATACCAAATGCAGTACACGACAACTTTGTGCCTCAGCTATACAATTTAAAAATTAAAAGTCCCAGGAGTCCCATCCTGAACTTGGAATGTATAGCCTTCAGAGGTAGTTTCTGGTACTACATTTTGATCCTCCTCTTCCTCTACAGAGAAATACTTCTCAATCAAGTTTAATGAAGCCTTGTACACAGACTCATTTTCATGGTTTTGTAGAGCTTCAATTTTGTCCAAACTTCCACATTCTTCAATCATTATACTAAGTTTCTCAGTTTCACCTAGTTTTTCAGCAGCCTGAAAGATATTTGAAATGGCATCCAGAATAACCAAAATAATTTTGGTATCTTTTGCAGTTAAGAGGGTCATCAACGGTTCTATTATGCCACAATGAACGAGGTATACAATCTGTTCTACTGTTTCACCACTTGTATAGTTGGTCACAGCCCATACAGCTTCCTTTTGTGTCTTAAAGTCTGCCTTAGAGAGAACACCAACAAGTAATGGGACTAGTCCATGATTTACAACTTGCTGTATCTGGTCCTGACGGCCAGCTGTGATGTTTGACATTGTCCATGTAGCTTCCTTTCGAATGTTAGTTTTGGGGTTGGTCAGCAGGCTGGGAAAGACAGTAAGTGCTCCTGCATCAATTACAACCTGAGTCTGTTCATCTGTCCCAGTGACAATATTCCCTATGGCTCTCAGCACAGGAGTCACAACTGGCAATTCGGTAGCTCCCAAAAGCTTCACAAGTTGGGGCACAATGCCATGGAACAGATTCTTCCTACTTTAGTGTGTCTCCTACATCACGATGATCCAGAGGTATTAGCAGATACTTGCTGGGCTATTTCCTACCTTACTGATGGCCCAAATGAACGGATTGAAATGGTTGTGAAAACAGGAGTTTTTTGCTAGGATCTTACTGAATATTTTTGCATCAATATTCATTAGAGATATTGGTCTATAATTTTCTCTTCTTGTTGGTTCTATTCCTGGTTAGGGGATCAGGGTGATATTTGCTTTATAGAATGTGTTGGGAAGCATTCTTTCTTTTTCTATGCTTTGGAAAACTTTCAGTAATATAGGTACTAGTTCCTCTTTAGAGGTTTGGTAGAATTCTGATGTGAAGCCATGTCATCCCAGACTTTTCTTTTGGTGGAGTTTTTATACAGTTGATGCTATTTCAGAACTTCACACAGGCCTATTCAACATTTCCACTTCTTTATGGCTAGGTTGTGTGCTTCCAAGTATTGGTCAATTTTCTTCATATTTTCATATTTCTAAGAGTAGAGGTTTTTGTAATGCTCATTAAGGATTTTTTGAATTTCTGAGGAGTCTGTTGTTATTTAGCCTCTCTCATTTCTGATTGGTAAAATTAAGGATTTTATCCTTTTGTTTCCGATTAGGTTAGCAAACAATTTATAAATTTTATTGACCTTTTCAAAAAACCAACTTTTCAGTTCATTGATCTGTTGTATACCTCTTTTATTTCCAATTTCATTTAATTTTGCTCTAATTTTAGTTATTTCTTTTCTTCTGCTAGGTTTGGGGTTGGAATGTTCTTCCTTTTCCAGTTGCTTGAGATATCCTGTTAAGTTGTTGACTTTCTCCCTTTCCATTCTCTTGAGGAAGACTTTCAATGCTATAAATTTCCTTCTTAGGACTGCCTTTGAAGTACCCCAGTGGTTCTGGTATTTCTTGTCTTCATTATTGTTTTGTTCCTAAAAATTGTTAATTTCCTTATTAATTTCATCTATGACCCCACTATCATTCAGCATAAAGTTATTTAGTTTCCATGTTTTTGTATGAGTATGCAGATTCCTGTTGTTGCTGAGTTCAACTTTTATCCTATGATGGTCTGAGAAGAGACAAGGAATAATTTCTATTCTTTTAAATTTGCTGAGGTTAGACTTGTGACCTAAGATGTGATCAATTTTGGTGGATACTCCCTGGACTCCTTATCTTTCCTTACTTTTGTTGGTTTAAAGGCTATTGTATCTGTGAACAAAAAAATATGGAATGCTTCATGAATTTGTGTGTCATCCTTGTGCAGGTTCCATGTTAATTTTCTCTGTATCATTCCAATTTTTAGTATATGTGCTGCCAAAGTAAGCACTGTATTAGGCATTTAACAATATGACTATTACCCTAAAGAATGATATTTTTGTGTCCCATAGATCTTGAAAACTTTTGTCCCCTTAGTTATTTTAATAATTTTGAATTTCTATCTTAATTTTATTCTTGACCCAAGAATCACTTATAATTAGGTACTTTAACTTCTATAATTTTGTGTGGGTCTAAGAGATTTTCTTGTTATTGATTTATAGTTTTATTTTGGTATGGTCTGAGAGGGTACATGGTATAATTTTACGTTTTTGAATTTTTTGAGACCTTTTTATAGCCTATGGTTAGTCTTGTAGAATGTTTTAAGTGGTACTGAGAAGAATGTGTGTTCTAAAATGTTGGGTAGAATGTTCTATAAATGTCTGCTAGGTCTATTTGATTCAAAATTATGGTAAGTTCAAGATCTCATTGTTTTTCTTTTTGTTTTTTTTTTCTCTTGGTGATTTTTATTTTTATTTATTTATTTGTACATTTTTATTAAATCATAGCTATGTATATTTTGTAATTATGGGGTACAATATGCTGGTTTTATATACAATTTGATATACTTTCATTTAACTAGTTAACCTAGTATTCACTGTATTTTCTTAGTTATTGTGTTAAGACATTTATATTCTACATTTAGTAGATTTAACATGTACCCTTGTAAAAATGCACCATAGGTGTGGTCCCACCAGTTACCCTCCCTCCAGCCATCCTCCCCCAGAACATATTCTTCTTTGTTCTGTCTTTTAATTTTTTCATAACATTATGGGGTTCCAATGTTTTGTTTACATACTTTGTTTTTGTACAGATTGAGGCAAAGTTATAAGTGTGTCCATCACCCAGATGGTGCATACTGTATGCAATAGGAGTTAATTCGTCCATCCTTTCCTCTCTCTCCTCATGCTTGGTTTTCATTGAGAATTACATCCATAGGTGCACTTAAATGGCAATAAGTTAATTTCAACCTAGTATTAGACACATGTGTTTATTTCTCCATTATTATGATGTTTCACTTTGAAGAGGGTTTGCAGTTCTATCCCAGTTGTCACAAATGATACTAAATTTCCATTTCTTCTTTTTGTTGTTGTTGTTGTCACCTTTAGTAGAGTGGTGTGATGTCACCGCTCACAGCAACCTCCAACTCCTGGGCTTAAGTGATTCTCTTGCTTCAACCTCCCAAGTAGCTGGGACTCCAGGCATCTACCATAGTGCTCAGCTATTTTATGTTACAGTTGTTATTGAGCCCAGCTAGCCCAGGCCTGATTCAAACCCACCACACTCAGTTTATGTGGCTGGCACCATAACCACTGTGCTATGGGTGCCAAGCCATAGATTTCCATTTCTCATATGGCTGAGTTTCTCCATAGTATCCATATACCACATTTTATTAAGCCATTTGTGTATTGGTAGGAACTTGGCTTTTTTCCCTGTCTCTGTGATTGTGAATGGTGCTGCTATAAACATTTGAGTGCTGATTTCCTTTTTAAAAAGTGAGATCATCATATTTGGGTATATACCCAGCAGTGGGATTGATGGATCAAATGGTAGGTCTACTTTAGGTTTCTCCATATGTTTTCATAGAGTTGTATTAGTTTGCAGTTCCTTCTACAGTATATAAGGGTCCCTATCTCTCTACATCCATGCCAGTGTCTGTTCTTTGGGGACTTTTAAGTCTTAGCCTTTTTTGCTGGAGTAAGGTGATATCTCATTGTACTTTTGATTTGCATTTTTCTAATGACAAGAGAAGTTGGGTATTTTTTATGCACTTTCTGGCTATTAGTGCATCTTCATTCGAAAAGCTTCTATCATGTCTTTTGCCCAATTTTTTATGAGGTCGCTTGGTTATTTCTTACTGATTTGCTTGAGTTCTTTGTAGCATTCATTATTAGTTCTTTACTTGGTGTGAATATTTTCTCCCATTCTGTGGATGTATATTTGTTCTTCTGATTGTGTCCTTATCTGTGCAGATGTTTTTTTTTTAATTTGATCAGTTCTCATTTATTTATTTTTGTTGTTGTGGTGGTTGTATTTGGGAACATCTTCATGAATTCTTGGCATAGGCCAACATCTAAAAGAATTTTTCCAACATTTGATTTTATCATTCCTATTGGTTCCTGCTATAGGTTTAAGTCTTTTGTCTATCATTAGTTAATTTTTGTGAGTGGTGAGAGGTGCAGTTTCTATTTCAGTCTTTTACACGTGGATGTCAAGTTTTCCCAATACCATTTATTGAACAAAGATTCTTTTCTCCAGTAAATGTTTTTATTTGTTTGTTAATATCAGGTGGGAATATAGGGATTATTTCATCTCTGAGTTCTCTGTACTGATCCATAGGTCTACATCTCTGTTTTTACAACAGTACTGTACTGTTCTGGTTACTGTAGTCTTGTAATATAGCTTGATATCTGGTAAAGTGATGCCTCCCACTTTTTAATTTACTTTTTATTTCAGATTAATATGAAGATACAAATGAATGAGTTACATTGTTTGTATTTCTACAATAAACTTCATGTGGTCGTTGAGCCCTTCATCTAGGGAGTATCTGTACATTATATTGTGCACATTAGGTGAGAGCTTACTTATCTCTCTCCCTCTTTCCCCTTTCTCTTATTCTTTCCTACCCCTTTCTCCCACTTGAATATGATTTTTCTCTCATGTGGGTGTGTAATTGTTTCTCTACTGGATTTATATTAGTATTGAGTACATTGAATACTTTGTTTTCCATTCTTGTGATACTTTACCAAGAAGAAAGTTCTTCAACTTCATCCAGGTAAATACTAAGGATGTAAAGTTTTCATTATTTTTTTTTATGGCTGAATAGTATTCTGTGCAATACATATACCACAGTTTATTAATTCATTCATGGGTTGATGGACACCTGACTTTCTTTCATGTCTTGGCAATTGTGAATTGAGCTTCAATAAACATTCTAGTGCAAATGTTCTTGTGATAATTTTTTCTTCATAGATACTTAGTAATTGGATTGTGGGATCAAATGGATGGGCCACTTTTAGCTAACTGAGGATCCTCCATACTTCTTTCCATAGAGGTTATATTAGTTTGCAATCAAAACAGCAGCATAAAAGTATTCCCTTCTCTCCACATACATGCTAGCATTTGTAACTGTAAAACTTTGTTATATATGATATTGTCCCTGGGGTGAGGTGATATTTCAAAGTAGTTTTAATTTGCATTTCTCTGATGATTAAGGATAATGAGCATTTTTTCATGTGTTTGTTGGCCATTCATCTATCTTCTTCAGAGAAGTTTCTATTCATGTCTTTTGCCCACTTAGAAATGAGGTAGTTTGCTCCTTTCATGTTGATTAATGTTAATTCTATAGATTCTATTTACCAGTTCTTTTTCAGATTTATAGCATGCAAGTATCTTCTTCCATTCTGAATTTTGTTTGTTTTTTTGTTTAGTTGTAGTACCCTTGGCTGTGCAAAATCTTTTTAGCTTTATCGTGTCTCATTTATTTATTTTTTTGGTGTTGCTGCAATTGCCAAGTAGGTCTTTTCCATGAATTCTTTTCACAGGTTGATAGCATCAAGAGTTTTTTTTTTTTTTTTTACCACACTTCCTCCTAGGATTTTTATTGTTTTCATGCATGAAATTTATCCACCAAGAGTCAATTTTTGTCAGTGGTGAAAGTT